CCATACTTTTTCTAATTTATATAAACAACATTTCTAAACTGAAACTCAACCTAAATGGTGAACTGTTTTTATTTGCCGACGACACTTTAGTTTTGATAAAGGGTTGTTCATGGGAGGATGTCAGGTCCAAAGCTCTTGGTGATCTCTCAATTCTAAAGAAATGGTTAGATCAAAATGTGCTCTCACTTAATGTAACCAAGACTAAATTCCTTCCCATATCACTCAGTATCAGCACTGATTATAATCTAGACAATTTGAAGATTCATTGCTGCGGCAACCATAATAGTTTATCTTGTAATTGTGAGTACATTGAAAGGGTAGATTATTATAAATATTTGGGTGTTTATTTTGACTACCGAATGAAATGGACAGAGCATGTAGATTTCTTGAAGAAAAAGATTCGTAAATATATCTATGCTTTTAACCAATTGAGTGAATTATTAGACGAGGATGACGTAAAGCGAGCTTATTTTGCTTATGTGCAATCCTTGATTTCATTTGGAATTATTTGCTGGGGAGCATGCTATCACACCACCTTGGAACCCTTGAATGTAATTCAAAGATCAATTTTGAAAGTTGCTTTTAGAAAAAATAAAAGGTACTCACTGATGCTCTATTCCGTGAGACGGGAATACTACCGGTCAGACATCTTTTCATCCAGTTCCTTCTTAATCACACATTCAAAAACTCAAACACGATTCTTACAGAAGTCACACATCAGCACTTCACAAGATACTCCCACAATGTTAGAATATCTGTTCCTCAGCTGCATAAATCAGTTCTAACTACCAACTGCTTTTATGTTGCTCAGATCCTCTGTTGAAATTTAATTCAAAAATATGATATTCAACACGTTTTTAGTTTACCCTCATTACAGAAATTCAAGACTCATATTCTTGTTTTACTGCACTCCATTACCATAGAAGAGGCCGAGACTTTGATTAGACCAAACCATACTTGACTCTGACTGAAAATCCTTGACCCTTAGACCACCTCACCCTCCAGATGTCTTTTTTTATTGAACTGGCTTTGGTTGTCGTCGCTGACATTCTCAACCGCATTTCAGTTTTCTTTTAAATAATTAAGAAAAACAAATCCCCCATATTCAGTTTTTGCCCTTAAAATTTCGCAGACTGATAGCAATCAGGCCTACGCACAGGCACCTGCCCATGTAGGCCTATCCCATAAGTATGGCAGATTCATTTAATAATTATAGTTGTACTACTGTAGTTAATCTTGCTCACTGTTTTTATTTATCTTTGTCTTTCTGTAATTATATTGGGATAAATAAACATATTTCATTTCATTTCATTTCATGGTAGTTAAAATGTTGGTCATGACAAGAAACCTTGCGTTAAACCATCAATTATTTCATAAAGAGCCCTTAAAGGTTGTAATTCCTTTCTAAAATGAACTTTCCATTAACCTAATGTTAAAAATACAAAATCAGGTGTGATAGTTTATTTGTATTACTGTATTCTGTTTTGTTTATTTCAGCTTAACTTAACAAATAAAAAGTTTTATTAATGCTTATGAAGTCAAACGGGATGAAGCCTGTGGGTAACAGCTAGTACCAATAAATTACAGTTAATTTAATAGCAATGAAAATCAATAGAAATTATATAGATAATTATTGTTCAATATCACTAGATTAATGTTTTGTATTTCCTCACTGTTTTGTATAAGCCTCACTCACTGACTGACACATTAATCACTAATTTGTTAAACTTCTGGACTAGCTGGAAGGCTAAAATTTGGCACACTCATTATTCAGGTCTAAAATCATTTTTAGAAATTTGCGTTTTTAGGTATTTTGGTTCGAGAACTTCCCGACGTACATCCGTCCATGCCCCTATACGACATCCATATAAATAAAATTACAGTTTTTGTCTGTACATTGCTTAGAATTATGCAGTTTTTGGTTATTTTTACGTTTCATAGCCTAATAAAGCCGAAACGAGTCTTATCTCAATTTCTGTCAGTCTGTCTGTCTGTACATTCTGTCATTCTGTCTGTGACGCCAAAATGTCACTTTACACGGCCTACTCCTAGAAAACTAGAGTACCGATCAACGTTCAAATCATTTTTCTGTATTTACTGGATTGGTGAGAATGTCTTTGGCTATAAAAACATGGCCTCGCTTCTTTGAAAACAAAATAACTAACCATCAAAACCCCAATTTTGTTAGATTTTTGTCAAATTTTCTCCTATTGTTTACTATTACCATTCTATTAAATTTTTTGAAATAACGATCAGCTGTTTGGATTAGTTCTCACAAAATTAATATTCTAATATTGTTTAGAGCCATTTGGAAGGTTTTAAAATCAGTTTAATCTACCTTCCTTTAACTTCCATCAATAAGAATACGCGAGTATCAACAGGAACAAGTCGGATCAACAATTAAAATTGTCAACTAATAAGCTGATCAGCTGTTTAGTTGATGTTCGAAGCATTATAATTTTACTTCTTTTCTCTCAATCCTTGAAACCACAAAAAACATGCTCTGTGTTGAAACTCATTGGTCCGTTGTGTTGTTATGAGAAAAACTATGCTGTTATGAAATGAAACTTTTTATGCTGTATGAAAGTAAACAGCTGTTAAGTGAAACTTTTCAAGAACTGAAATGGCTAATTTAAAAAACGGTCGCAGGTAAACTTTTAAACATTGTTCAATATAGTTATTGTTATAGTTATTTGGTTATGTTATAGTTATATATAATTATTGTTTAATAGAGAAAACTGTAGGTAGGGCAAGAAAATAAAATTAATTTCTCAGTCATTCTTGATCCAAACTTAAGCTTAATACATCTTTGTAATCTGCATGAAATTTGCCAACTTTTACGTATTCTGCAAGTATGTTGTAAAATTAAAGGTTTTCATGGCATTAAATATTTTTTAAAGCCACAATTTTTCAAAGGTTCAATATTTTTTATACATACTTTGCACAATAATAATTGTCAATAAACACATTTTTATAGAATTCAAACGCCGTAGCTCAAACAGTTGACCCTAGAGCTGGCACTAGTGTAACGCTGTACTGGCATAGGGATATTATTGATTATGTAATATAATTTTTAAACCATCATAAAAATTTGAAATATCAACATAACTATGGATTGTTATATATCATTTTGTTCAGAATAACACAAAGAACAATAATATAGGTGGTTTACATGGTTACCACAAAAAAATTTTGGTTTTTTGGTTTTTCCAAATTGTATGCATTATTAATTTTTTTATAAAATGTTTTTATATTCCGTCGTATAGCTAAGTGCATGTAAGACTTATCATCATAAGGTAAATTGTAAAGTTGTGGTAAATTTTGTGCTGATTCCAAAAATATATAGTTTATATAGCTTATTTTGTGTATTTTGTTTGATAGCCCTATTACTATGTCGATCGTACCCCCGCGCTAGTACCAAATAATCATCCAACCCAGGTCATGTACAAAACCGTACACCTTTTTTATAATATATAGTTCCAGGGTACTTACTCTGGTTTGTATTATTTAACTTATTTATTACAACAGTAGCCCTAAAAAGTGAACAAAACTAAAAAAAAAAAAAATTAATATAGGCCTACTGTAACATCTGCATTGGCGCCGAATATCCGGCGTTGCCATTTCGTCCGCGGCCGTTCGCGCCGTAGATCCGGCGTTGCCATTTCGGCCGCGGCCGTTCGCGCCGTATATCCGGCGTTTGCCAGCGCTAGGGTTAAGGAGCTATATGAATATTTTTGTAAAAATCACATACAGACAGACAGACCAAAAGCGAAATTAGATAGAAAATTATTAAATGTTTTGCTTCTTTTGACATGCTGAATAACGTGACAAAGTTTGTTCATATGGTTACAAGACACCCTGTTTGGTGAAACACTTATTCTCTGTTTGTAATGTTTAAAATACAAAAAAATTCCTCCAGGTTTAAATGCTTAGGTTACATATTGCATAGACTACTGTCTATAAAAAGTACATTTTAATGTAAGTATATCACATTTTTTAGTTTCTGGCAAACGTACAACAATATTCAACCAGTTAATGTTACGTTTATCACACAAAGGCTTTAAAACTCTCAGAAGAAAACATCTTTTATTGAAGCTCAACACTGGACAGAGCAGCAGAAGAGCGTGAAGTGCTCGTTCACTGTATGTACGTTGCGGGTGCAAGGCGAGGGAATCTCTCCCACCTGGCTGAGTTGGCCGGTCGACCGACTGAGTTGCACGACATGGCAACCGCGCTTATCTATGGTCAAATATAGTAGTGTGCGATGCATAAAAAATGCATGAAAATTGGTATTTGATTATTCGATTCAATGCATCGAATCGTGATTTGATTAAGCATGCATCAAAATACGATTTGGTCCCAAAGCCAACAATAAAAGTGGAAATTTTACTTCATATATATAAAATAAACTCGAAAATTTTATTTAATACAGGTCAATAATAATAAAATTAATTGCTTTTGTATAGGCTAAGATTTATGAAAAAGCAATGTATAATAGATAAATAACTTTTTTGGAAAAAATGATATATTATATATTTTTGTGTCAACACAAAAAACCTCATATTATCCTTTCCTTCTCCTTTTGTACAAATCGGTGTTGTTGGATATAAAAAATATAAATTAATAGATACAAGTGCTTCCTCCGCGGTGCGAGCGTTGAGCAGTGTAGTGTTGCCACTTTGAACGCTGCGGCCGTGCTATAACTGACAGCTTAGACTGTATTGCCCTAAGAAAATATTTCCAAATCTTATATTTATACATATATTTTGGTGCAAGAATTGTAACTTCTGAATTCAATCAATGTGAAAACTATTTTTAAGTACCTTATTATACCATAGTATTGTGTAACCCTTAAATACCCCTTGACACAACAGCAATTGTAAAATCAACTTGGTATACTCAATGCAAATTGCAAACTAAGTTTTATTTGTTAAAAACACCATACTAGTTGTTTGTAACCTTTTTTTACAAAATTTTCCTAACTTTTATGTGTTCAACAGAGATCTGAAACCAGAAAACATACTGTTGGATTCCCAGGGACATGTGAAACTGACAGACTTCGGTCTGTGCAAGGAACACATCCAGGAGGGCAGTGTCACTCACACATTCTGTGGCACCATTGAGTACATGTGAGTATAGTGAGGGGCAATGTAAGGTGTAGGCCTAATTGTGATGAGGTATGATGTTAAAGTTGAGTAGAACAATGATTTAAAGAAAATTAGTTAACACAATTAGCTGTACTTTAGGAAACGGATTGTGGTAGTATGTGATAGGGGATAGGGAGATTTTGGAGGCCTTTTATACAGAACATTGAAATGTGGTATCCAGTTTGAACTCTTTTTCAGATCCAGTTTTTTGTTGTTTAAGGTCCGCTTTCCCCAATTATTGTTTAATAGTGAATGTAGTTTAACCCAGATTCACTTTCCTCAAAATACTTTCTCAATTGAACCACTGTCGAGGAAAACACCAGGGGAACTCGAGTTTGAGCTTAAATATCTGTAATATGGATCATCTGATTGTAATAAAACAAAAATCAAATTTAAGTAAAAAAAAGTAAACTAGGGTGGTCTGCCGTTTCACTTTAGACGCATAAATGAGCGAAGCATTATTTAAAGATTGTCAATGGCTAAAGCAGCTAACACCCTACAATAAATGTTCCCTTTCAACAGATTCAACGTTTGTTTGCCCGATATTATTTAAGTTCTAAATTTAAAGACAAATTTATCTGATAGTTCATACTGTACCTTTGTAGTGAAACTGGCCATCCTGACCATTTGCTTGTACTTTGTAAATGGGCATAGCAGGATGTACTCGTGCAATCAACATTTGTTCTACAATCGTCAGGTCAGTTAATTCGTTATTTAACGCCGTGAATTTAGTTGCATTTGAACGACAACGCGAACAAATCGGTGATTGATTTGAAGCTGTTAGTTGTTGGCGATGACAGTTAGTGCAAGTGTAAAATTTTAGTGCATCTAATTCATGTTGGAATTGATTAGCTAACTGCCTATCATTATCAGCTTCTTCCGCCACTGCTTCATCTGGTTCTTCTTGTTTACGACGCCACTCTCTTACAATATTTGCATTATTGGTGCGACGACCAATATTACGACGTGGCCTTTGAGGCATGCTCAAAACAAATATAGCAAAACTGTTACTTCCATTGATAAACTGTTACATTCCAACTTTAACCTAGGATGAAAGTAAACATTAAAATGTAAACAAAACAGTTACAAACAACTAACATATGTTTATCTTATTTAAATGAAACGAGATAAACCCATATGTCATAAACCCAATATAATTTTTATTTCAAATTACATTATAATAACAAGCAAAATTGCGTGACCCGTAAAATAAAATCCAGAAGGAAATTCGCAAATATTTTTTACCAAAACATAGTGCTCAGTATTCTTTAGCTGTTGGCCAAATTTCATATCAATTGGTCAAGCCATTACATTCTGATGCTCTTACAAAGAAGTTACAAAGTGAGGGAAAGTGAGCTTCGCTCAAAAAAACCATAATCTTAACACATTGGTCATCAACAATGACAATTTTTTTCGGTTAAAGATTTTGCATTTTGAAAACCTCTAAAAAGTACAGGTTTCTAAAAGCTTTGCACTAACATTTATGATTAAACTTAATTGTCAAGAAACCACTTAACAAATCTTTCTGGAACTTTTAGGACTTATTCTTAGGTTTATTGTAAGCGTTGTCATATAATTTAAAAATTTTATTTCTAAGAGTTTTCAAACATTTGTTAATGTTTAAAATGTATTCTACAAATTTATACAAACTTTGTTCAAAATATCATTGTGTTTGTTGTGACACAAGAAATATCAGTCACATGTTACATTTATAATCAGATCAAATATGTTTTTTATGTAATTTTATTTGTTAATGCAAAATCACACATTTCCTGATAATGCAGAACTATTCTTAACTAACTATCCTTTACATGGTAAAAAAAGCTACATTTTAAAGTGAAATAGTATATGAGTATGTAGGCAAACAACGGCGATCAATATTTTTGTAAACAAATAGTTTGTAACATAAACATTTCAATGATAGTTTGAAACCAGCTTTCAGTTAAACTAGCATTGAAACGACTTTAATTTGTTAGCGTTGTTGCTATAGGTACTTTAAAAAATAAAAACTTAATTTCTAAAAACTATATATATTGACAGAAAAATAAACAAAAACATATCCATCTATAAATATAATACGCTAAGCCGATTTTTGTGAACAGAACTCCACCCTCATATTTAGACAGATTTTTGAAGTGTCAAAAAAATTGCCTCGATATTTAGTTTTGCAAAGTGGTTTTAATTTGTTGAAATCTTTATTAGTTTTGGCAGGATCTTCCATCAAAGTTGGGTTTTCTCCCATAAGGTGGGGGAATCTATATTAAATTTGAAACTTTGTCTTAACTAATTTGAGAGAACGGCTGGGTGTGGAAGCTTGGTAGAGGTGTCTAAAGTAAGGTCTTGGTTTTGATGAGCCATCTAAAGAAAAGCAAACTAAATTCCCTCGGGACTCTGCCCCAGTAACCTTTAGAGTTTTTTCTGCATCATGTCATATTTTCCCATTACGAAATCAGTGGAAAATCATAATATCTCAGTATCTCTAAAAATTATTTCTTATTGAATTATCTTATATCTATATTTATTGTACGGGTTGGTGTCTGCCTTTATGACCACTTTTACATGTTTTCAATCATTGGAAAAAATTTTGATTGTTTAATACAATACAAAATAATATACGTGCATTAGGGCACGTTGACCATATAAGCCGTATCGATATTTTGTTAAATTAATAGTGGTTTACAGCAACTGGATTAAATCTTTTATAATTTTTATGTAGAAATAATGTGCATGATTTATAAAGTCATTAAGCTGAAAAATTGCAATTGACTGCAGAGTTTTCAGAAAGGTTATTTCGATGTATTCATTCGGCATGGTGAAAACATAATATAGATATGTAGATATGAATATAGATATGTATACAAATTAGAACTTGAACTCTTAGAGAGCCTTTGTATGTTATTAGACTAATGATAAGGGCTGTGCATGGCTAGCGACAATCAGCAACAAAACCATTTAATGTATCTCTTAAAAAATATTCTCAACGAATATTGTGCTACGATCAGAAGCCTAAAAAAATATTATGTAGCTTACCCTGATATCTACACAAAAAATGCTTAAACTTGATACTACAAAAAAGTTCAGGCCACAGCCATTTTAATGCGCTTGGATTGTGACATTTATAATTCATTTATCTCTTACCTAACAAATTATTCATCTGCAGAAGAAGTTCATTGTGCTCTTATCGTGTCTAATAACATCCAAACACAGAGACCTTGCCCAAAATTATACCTATCTTGACAGATGATTTGCAGTGGCCTATTACGGACCGTGGCCCACTTGCTCGTGGGATTTTTTTAAATAACACTACACTTAGACTGTAAAAAAATTGCACAAAGAGTAATTGCCATTTAAGCAGCTACTCATTACAGAAAAGTCATGTTCCTTTAAAAATATATCTCATCATCCTTTATAAGATACGTTGATTAACAACAATGCCTGTAAACGTCACTATTCACGTAACAATTAACAGTATTTGCTTTTTGGGAATGCAGCATTGCTTTGTCATTTGCATTATTTGTTGCCAATGAAGCCGCACGACCATATGAACGAGGCCCTTAACAGTTCAAGAATAAAAGCCAGCTTCACTACAAGTATATTCCACTACACCTAACATTTTGAAGAGAGATTATATTGACCACTTTATGAAATTGATAAGTCTGAGACAACTGGCATCCGCCGCATGTCAAGTAATTCTAGCTTAAACAGTAACCCCAGAACTAATTTCTCTAAACTATGCTAGAGGGTTATTCATTGGCACAGAAGTACGGTATGATGACCGACTGACAAAGGAAAAAAAAAACTTACACAGGTTAAGGGTGGACAACACTTTAAAGTAAGAACGTGCCTTCTCAACAAACAGATATTTTTTCTCAAATAAAAGCGTAGATTTAATCTGCATTACACTGATGAAATCGCGGAAGTGTTTACCACAAAAGACCCACCAATATGATTTTAATACTATTTAAAGTTTCTTCCAAAGAAGAGAAACTAGTTAACATAGTAACAATAACTCCGATGATGTACGGTATGGGAAATATTTTATTCATTGAATGATGAAACCATATTTTGTTACTAGGGTAACAAAATAGTCATTTTTATTTTTAAACTTATTACTCTTTAAACATTGCTAAATGCTCAAAATTTGTAAAATGTACTCTATTTATGGCAGTTAGATGAATTAGCGTATGCTTGACAGTAACCGTCGATTTCGATGGGTTTCACGTAGTAATAATATAATTATAACATTATATGTTATAAACAAATTAGGCGGGCAAGATGAATATGAAAGTTAGACATTACAACATCCTCCCAACTTGCATATTCCTTGCTCATTAATATATTTCATGAGCTTGTCTTTATTGAGTGCCTTAGTCAGAGAATCAGCCACCTTCTAGTTGTGGGTGTGTAAACAAAAATAACTTTCTAAGGGTTGTCAGCGACCTGGAAAATCAGGAATTATGCGTGAATTGAGCCGCTGTGAAAAAACTGGGAAATATGCGTGAAAATTGTATTATTCGGGGATTTTCCGCGAATTTCAACTATTATCATTATGTTCGTTTAATTACGAGGAATTTTATAGTTCTAACAATTTTGAGCCAATTTATCCAAAAAAAGTTATATAGTGAATGTATATTTACGGAAGATTCAGATTAGAAATTAACCAGATTCGAGAATGAAATCTCAGGTTTGTCGACAGAATGCGCCAACTCGCCGCCAGCTCTATAATAACGTGAAGCGTGTATCAGGGTAGCAGCAGTGTCGATCTACGCATAGAATTACGTCCTAGTGGAATATTAATTGTATTTTAAATAGGGATAAGCCGATAACAGAATTTCTCGATTCCATACCAGTTCTGAAATATTACTCACGATTCTTGATACTAATGGTCAATTTTTTGTTGTTCGAATCATCCATGTTTGAATTCTGAATCAGACAACCGATGTAGTTCATGCAGGCTCAAAATTATCGTACGATGTCAGTTATTTATCGTATCCAAGTCTGATAAGTAAACGGAATCAGGGAACCGCTCTTGCTTTTTACGAAACGAAATAGCTGTAGACTGAAAACATCCAAATGGAGGTAGCACTGGCACAGCAACTCTGCTAGAAAATCGAGACGCTGTAAAATGTTGTTATGTTGGTACCACTAGAAGAATCAACCAACTCATTGGCTATTGGCAATCCCACAATCCCCTAGTTCCAAAGTACTATTCCCTTAGTAAATATGGCGGCCAACGTCTCCTAATTCTCGCATTCAGTGATACCACAGAGAGTTCTATTGTTTGTGATGATACCTTCGGTTGCGTTGTAGCTCTAGTTCAATGCGCAACTATTGCCGCCATTGCCGGTATGGACTTAACCTTGACCGCAATAAATATTTGTTCGCGTTGTGCGTTTGTGTAGCAAGCAATGGCGGAACTGAACTGTAGTAGAGTGTAGACACAAGACAGACGACAAGACGATTTATGTGATGACAATACGATTCCCAATAGACTCGCGACTGTGGATTGAATTGATGTTTTAGCTTTGACTTTTAGTTTAGTTAATTTTGGAAAATACATTATTTTCATTGTAATAATTATTGATTTTTTGCCGGTTTACAGTTAATTATAAGTAACTATCGGAAAATATAATGTGAAAAACGTAACGTTAAAAACTGCTTCAGTAGGCCCAAGAAAACCATTTTCTACCACAAATTTTGTTTCAAGGTACTACTTTTATATGTTAACTAGCTGTACCTAGGGCTTTGCCCCGTTTAACTTCATAAGTATTCGCATGGCTCAATCACGTCCCGGTTGAAGTTCGTTCGCTACGCTCACTCACCTTTAGGTTGGAGCTCGTTCAATGCGCTCACTTGTTTTCAGGTTAGCTTGTTCGCTACGTTAACTCGCCTCCAGGTTGATGTTCGTTCGCTACGCTCACTCACCTTTTGGTTGCAAATTAGCTCTTTTCATAAATTTTAAAAAGTCATCCCTTTTATTGTTTATAATACAAAGGTTTTTATGTTTTAATATTTAACATTAGAGAATTTAAGCATTGTTAAGTGCACAGGTGTGCTGCGATTGGGGTTTAATACATTTGGACTTATTCAAAAGTAAAATAGTTTACTGTGCTGCACTCTGTAGAAACACTGTGGCACTATTTCAAATCATGACTAATGCTAATACAGAATGTTGTAGCCTAATTAATTATTCAAACGTACAAAACAGTTGGTGAAAGTAAACATCTGCTATTAAATTATTTATTTGTAAACATTGTAGATCAAAAAGTCTGACATTGGCCCACTTAAAACCCTCTGGGGCAGAGCCCTTTTGACAGATCTGCACCAAACTTCACTCGAACCATCCTTGAAAGATGCTTAATAATGCCTGAAAGTTTCATTACAATCTGTCGAGCGGTTTTGGAGTCCATAACGTATATACATATATATATATATATATACACACACATACATAGTTCCTCTTTTATAGATATAGATTTTAGCGAATTTCCCATATAGGGAATAAGCTATTACCATAGTACTCAGGGTACGAACTGGACCCGGGACCGATTTACTTTTTCGTTTTGAGGTCCCTAGAGGCCAAAAACACCATCCGTTTAAATTCATGTATACAGTATATATACAGGGTGATTGATATAAGTGTGCCAGCTGTTTTATTCGAAAACTATAAGAGATATCAAAAAAGTTAAATGGTAAGTGCCTTGGATTTATTATTTTAAAAATTGTAGTCAAATCAGAAAAAATATTTTAGCCGCCATTTTTCCAATATGACGGCCAACTTTGATTTTTCTTATGGTATTTTATGATGTGTTCTGGTAGAAAATAAGTTTTGAAATTTCGGCATGAGAAAGAGTTTTGATAAAGGCCTAAGCAAGCATGTCAGCTGTTTTATTCGAAAACTATTAGAAATTTCACAACTTTAACCACTATTATCTTTGAAACGGTTAGGTTTCTGAAAAAAAACACAAGAGTAAAATCGTCTTAAAATTACATTTTCTACTGGAATATTACATCATAAAATACAGAGTGTTCCATAAGAAAAATCAAAGTTGGCGGCCATATTGGAAAAATGGCGGCTAAAATATTTTTTTTCGACTTTACTAAAATTTTCAAAATAAAAATTCCAAGGCACTTAACATTTAACTTTTTTTGATATCCCTTATAGTTTTTGAATAAAACAGCTAGCACACTTATATCTATCACCCTGTATATAACTTGCGCAGCAAATAATAAACTTCCAACTGCTTCTTGATAGGGTACATTCTTCATTTTTTCCGCTTCTTCTTCAGTTTTGGGTGATTACACTTTTGAAAGTCTTTCTCCAACATTTATTGGAATAGAAATATGATTGAATTGATCCATGTTGAATCGTTTCTTAACACTTTCAAGATAGGCTCGTTGATCGATGAAAATCTTCTTATTTGTCCTATCCCGGGTTATTCTAAATCCCAGAATAAGCTTTGCTGTTCCCATATATTTCATTTTGAATTCTTGCATTGTTGTGACTTTAGGATTTCTTTGAGATGTGTGAACCTATTTAACTGATGATTTATGACTTAAACTGGCATTGAGAAATACAAATGTTGTCTAAAAACTACTGACTCTTGTCACTGTTTACTACAATCTTAATAACCCTGTTTGGCAGCAAAGAAATTAAAAATTAGAATAATTATAATAAAGGCATTAGCAGCTAGTTTTATAGTAAGAAGGGACAGTTAGTTTTACGGTATGTTGACAGGGCTCCAGAGATCCTGACGAGAAGTGGTCACGGCAAGGCGGTTGACTGGTGGTCACTGGGAGCACTCATGTACGACATGCTCACCGGGGCGGTCAGTAAATAATCTTAACTCCAGACTTGCATCACCCATGATGAATTTGTTCAGTATAGCAACTAAGAATAATACATAACAAATTGAAAACTAAATGCTAAAGCATTGACAAATAAATTATGATTGTTTTTAGTCATGACTTTAACTTATTACTTTCAAGGTATTCTTGGTGAAAGGCCCTGAGCCAGAATAGGTTTAATTTTGTTTTTGATAAGAAGAGCTGGCTTACCTGTACATTGGGCAAATCTTCTCAATAGGAGGAGACACATTTAAATTAAATAGACTCATAAAGTTTAAATTTAAAATATTTAATGCCCATTGACCACTTTTGCAATATCAAAGAAAGGAGGATTGTAATGAATAATATTGTGTTTTTCAATAAAACTAGTTTGTTTCTAGTTATGTTAGTATAATTTTATTTCCTGGTGATAAAACCAATTAATAAGTACTGTAAATACTCTTCTTGGTCTTTCAACTTGTTTAAAAAATTGTACCTTTTGTCCATTTACCCTGTAGACGCATGCAGTCTATTCATGTTTCATTATGATTTTAATTTTGATAACTTAACAGCCTCCCTTCACTGCTGAGAACCGTAAGAAGACAATAGAGAAGATCATGAGAGGTAAACTGGTGCTTCCTCCATACCTGACTCCAGACGCTCGCGACCTCGTCAGAAAACTGCTCAAGGTAAGACTAAGATCAAATTAAAATATATATTATTCCTGTTTACATTAGTGCACACAACCAGTAATTAAGTTTTCTTAGCCAAAGTAATTGAGTTATTTGCAATAAACTGAATAAACTTATTGTTTTCAAAAAAATAGACTGGATTTTCTAATACATTTTAACATTACCTATCTAAACATTTTCTTTAGCCTAAAATCATCTGACACTTGTGATAAAATACTTTTGATTGTCTAAATTGAGTTGTCCAGTCACTCTAACACTGATTTTAATTGATTATGACCGAGTTAAAATATTTTAAAATATGAGGGTTGTCCTAAAATTGAGGTTTTGAATGTGCTCTCGCCGTGACAAAGTAAGACAGTTGAAATACAACAGCAGTGCTGTCATCATTACTACCACTCAATGTATCCGTTAGTAACATTAGCGGTGTTGTGTAGCGCACTCCTTGCCAGAGACTAGGTGCCGGCCCAGGGGATGGGGAACTAGTCAAGAGACACCCCTTCTTCAGACACATCAACTGGGCTGATGTGTTAAGTCGTAGACTGGAGCCTCCATTCCGACCTGCGTTGAGTGGTGATGACGACGTCAGCCAGTTTGACACCAAGTTCACCAAGCAGACGCCTATCGACAGCCCTGATGAAAGCACACTCAGTGAAAGTGCTAACATGGTGTTTCAGGTAATTTATATTGTTTACCGAACAAAGTAATTAAAAAAAACTTTATCTTCAGAGGCTAAAGTGACTTGTTCCTATAAATCCTATAAAATAACGGGAAAAAATCAGATTTCAACCAAGATATGCCAAAGGATTTTGTTTTAAAATTATCACCTATGTTATAGCCCTTTTAACTTTAAATAGAATGTTGAAAATGTTGTAAAAATTATGGTTCAAAAGTTATTGCAAGTTTTGTGATTTTCCCCATAAAATGTCATAGTTTCTCCCACATAGTTACCGAGGTTATCAACTGTTAGGCCCCTTTTATTCACCGCGGTTATGTAAATGCATTGCCGTAAATGGGTGCTTTTATTCAAATAGGAGCGGTCTCAGAAGTTGTGGGTACCCGCAGAGGTTTGTAAATTCACCCGCTTGCACTAAGAAACCGCCGGCGGGTAGCGGTTCGTATATGCATTGTGTTATATGGGATCGTTTATTCAACGTGGGAGCCCGCCGTCGCTCTCGCATTGCTACCAACCCAAGTCACCAGTGTCACTCACTAAACGTGGTCTTGTCATTCGGCTGTGCGCATTGTCTATTACATACTATAGTTGTTTGGTTGTGTACATAGCTGAACCTCTCACCGTTAAAAATGACTTCATGTCATGTTCCGGACATAAATACTGAAAGATTTTGTCTGAAATTATCTACAGTAAATAAAATTTAGATTGAACACCACTCTGGCACTATTTGCAACTCTTTCTAGAAATTCTTCGTGTTTTTAGCTAGATTTCAGGCTTAAATAGCAGCCGTTGAAGTGAATCGATGACAGTTCTCAGTTGTAAACCAAATATTTGTGTTGGACTGGTTAGATTGAAGGAATATCAGGGTTGTCAGCGGCCGGGAATTCCGGGAAAATCGGGAATTATGCGTGAATTTTAACAGCCGTGAAAAAACCGGGAAATATGCGTGAAAATCGTATTATTCCGTGAATTTAATTGATATCGTTATTACAGTTTTTTTCAAGTAATTTTAATAGTTATAAACCGTTTTGCAATACTTTCTTGATTGATTTTATAGTAAACCAAACTTTACGGTTTACTGGCGAGTGGCGATGGTTCGGAAGAAGCAGAAGGTAAGTTGGATGTACACTACCTACCACCATGAATAGGCCTACGCGGGAAGCCGACGCCGCCGGTTGCCGGAAGCAGACTACATTGTGCTGAACTGCAACTGACTTCCATCCAACTTAGTGTTAAGATTTATTTTATTCTGATATTATCTGGTTATACAGTACCTATTTTCAGCGATTATAGCCAAAAAGCCTTTAAAATAAATGTGTAGTAGTAGGCCTACAAGTTATTTTTCCAACCCATTCCAAAAACTACAAATATTCCTAACATTGAACGGCAATCCAGCCGGTGTTCAGGAAGCCTGAAAACGTCTTAAAGCCTTTTTTATTCTTATTCAATTATTATAATTATATCTCACACAAGACTAACAAATTAAAAAAACAAGGTCAGGAGTTGAGTCATAGTTATATACTGTAGGAATGTGGAGAGGCTAGGCATGTTGGTATGGATTAGGCATTCCCTGGAATGTAAGTCGTGTAAGGGGAGATGGATTGTCTTAACTTCTGGCATGTTTAATGCATATCAATATAAACAAGGGCAGAGTGATGTCATAGCTATGTACTGTAACTTCTGGTATGTGTTTTTGCATATCAATATAAACAAGGGCAGAATGATGTCATAACTATGTACTGTAACTTCTGGTATGTGTTTTTGCATATCAATATAAACAAGGGCAGAATTTTATCATCATAGCTATGTAGATGTAGGCCTACTGTAGGAATGTCGAGAGGTCAGGACAGCTGGTATTGGCATGGCATTGCAAATAATTTGCAAGAAAACTGATGAACATATTACGTTTCTTTGTAATGACGCATACCAAACTAGAAAACAAAGTCTGTATCGTATGTAAATACTGTCTCTAGTTAGGCCTAATGTAACTAATGTTGTTTATCAAAATATATTATTGTCATTTGTTTGTTCTATTTTTTATTTTTGATATAACTAAACCGACTTAAATTTATTTTGTTTTGCAAACTTACATGTATAAGTTTATTCTGCAAAATGTTTAACTATGTTAATTTTCAACCTCAATTTTCAATGTGTGCCAAGTGAATTTTAAGAGTTAATGGATTTTAATAACTACCTAATAAACGTATATGTTTAACGTCTGTGTTGTCTTTATTATTTACCAAAATCCGTAATTATAATTGAATTTGTTTTTACATACATCATTCGGACATGGGTAAATTTAAGACAATCAACACAAGTTATTATTTGTCTCGTTAAACTCTGCCTTTTGGGATAGCTGTGCACAATGTGAGGTTAGGACCTACCTTTACCATTGACTTTGAATAGCATCAAGTTTATACTTTTATCTTATCTTATTGGTTTTTTTTAGGTTATAATAATAATTTAAAAATAGTTTGTAACATTTTAACGTATTTGTGCACAAACTCTTTTATTAAATTAACTCTACCGTGTTTCGGCTTAACCGCGCAGCTGTTGTGTACTACTGTCTACTAGCCGTTCGCAAAATGTTCGGCATTTGTTTACTTCTTGTCAATTGACCTTGACATCGGCACAAACCTCAGCAACTTCTTTTCATAATCCATTATTGATTGGCACGCGTTTCGATCGATGTAAATAAATACGTGCACTCGAGTTTGAGCCTAAATATCTCTGAGATTAATTATCCGATTTTGTTGAATCAAAAATTAAATATAAGCTGGTTTAAATACACTTTACGTGGTAACAATTAAAAAATTTCCGTTTACCAGAAAAATTTATATAGTTGAAAGATCGTAAAAAGTACCGGTTTTTAAGAATCTCTGCACTAACACTAAAGTTTAAAATTTAATTATACTCAAACCACTGAGCCAATCTTTCTGAAATTTTTAAGGCTTATTGGTAGGTTTATTGTTAACATTTCCATTTATTTTAAAATTTTTACTCCCAATAGTTTTTATGCTGCTGTTAATTTTTAAAACGTATGCTAACATCGTTAATAAGACGCTAAAAATTTCGTTCAAAATACCATCGTGTTTGTCGTGACACAAGAAATAACACCAATATGACAGATTTATAATGCGAACAAAGGTGTTTTTTAAACAGATTTATATTTGTAAACAAAAATTTCCCGCGCGACTGGCAGCGGGCCGCCTGGTGTTGTAGGCCTACGATATTTCCCAGCCGGGCGGGAGTGCGTGCGAATCTGCGACGTTGCCGATGTGAACCTGGCGACCACACTGACATTCGCCAGTCACGGGAGAAATTGTTGTTTACAAAAAATATAAATCTGTTTAAAAAACACCTTTGTTCGCATTATAAATCTGTCATATTGGTGTTATTTCTTGTGTCACGACAAACACGATGGTATTTTGAACGAAATTGTTAGCGTCTTATTAACGATGTTAGCATACGTTTTAAAAATTAACAGCAGCATAAAAACTATTGTGAGTAAAAATTTTAAAATGCATGGAAATGTTAACAATAAACCTACCAATTAGCCATAAAAATTTCAGAAGGATTGGCTCAGTGGTTTGTTTACAATTAAATTTTAAACTTCAGTGTTAGTGCAGAGATTTTTAAAAACCGGTACCTACTTTTTAGGATCTGGCAAACGGAAATTTTTTTAATTGTTACCACGTAAAATGTATTTAAACCAGCTTATATTTAATTTTTGTTTCAACAAAATCGGATAATTCATCTCAGAGATATTTAGGCTCAATCTCGAGTGCACATATTTATTTCCCCTACAGTAGTCTACTGTACTAGCTTGATTAATGATTAAGGTAATAGAGTTTATAACCTCTGATAATTCTGAACAAATTATTAGCCAAATATAGTATTATGAGTGGATATTAGCAAGATGGCACCCATAATGACCCACCGCGCTACCCCTTACCCGCCCGACTATCAGTGCGTCACTAATTAATTATGTGTCACCGTTTCATCGGTCGGGGCTTACGTAGTCCCTTGGGCAATTTGGCTTGCTTTTTTTAATTTACTGATAAGTGTAACTTGTGTTGTGCCGTTCTTATAAGTATAATAGACGCCGGGAATTCCGTACTTTGTAGCCGGAAAAACCGGGAAAAATGTGTGAATTTCGTTTATAGATCCTGCTGACAACCCTGAATATACATTTAAAAAAAAACAAAGGTTTTAACAAACAAGGGTTGGCAGCACTGTTACACTATCTACGTGACAGCGGTCAATCGCAGGTGACGCATTGGTGCAGTGGTCGCCCGTGGTGAATAAAAGGGGCCTTGGGGGTTGTATGATTGTGTGTGTTATTTTCCTTGTTACTCATCTTATCAGGTTAAAAGTGATTAATCACCATACTGCCAATAACCAAGCAACAACTACAAATTAGTATAACTACGACTAATAATACCAATTGATAACAACTACTAACTCTCGATACATTTGATTATTTACGAGCAACACTTGTGTAATAAAATGTACAGCTCAGCTGGTGCCTTCAGCTCTACCTGATTCTTTTTACTCTAGGGCATAAATAAATTGTTCCTCTGCAGTGTGACAAAAAAGATTAACATTTTTTTTATAATATGAGTTAACTTTGTTAATCTGCAAAAATCTTAATACAGTATTACCTGTTTAACTCTTATTATGGTAATAACATAATTAACTCTGTTATCTTATTACTTATCACTGAAACATAGTAAATATTCTAAGAACACTTTTTCCTCAGGGCTTCACCTACGTTGCCCCGTCAGTACTCGAGGCATCATTCAAACCAAGGATCATTCGAGCTCGGTCACCTCGCAAAACCAACCCGTTCTCTTCCCCATTGCGGAACCCATTTGAGAACCACCTGAACCCAACACCACCTGATGAAATGATGGAGGTATCATCACCCCTGCACCTGGGCCCACCTGTATAGCAGGCCCAGGCAGTTTAGGTTCTAATTGCTGCGAGGATCCCGCTTCTCGTCGCATGTTAAATAATTACGCGATCATAAATTAATTTCTATATCTATAATCTTAGTTTTATTTTCTGTTAGTTAAATTATTTGATGTGAATAGGCTTGGTTTGTTTATGCTAGTAAGTCGTGTCAGCTTTCACTGTTTCGTTATCGGTTCTGATCAATGATATTCGAGTCTTAGCAGCAAAAATACTCACTAGGTGGGGGGTTGACTGTAGGATTTTGTTTTCTTTAAAATCACATTTTTGCATACATCATTTTGATTTTTGTAACCCAACAATTTTCTGGGACCAATGTCCTTATGTTTTTACAATTTGAAAAAGCACAAAATTAATTTGACAAGACTAAATAAACCTTTGCTTGCTCTAGTCATGAATCGTTAGCACTGAATCCATGTTGAAAAAGGTTTTGGTTCTAAATGATTATTTTTGTTTGTTTTTAATTGTTGGTTATTGTACCAACTGAAGCTTAAAAAAAGACACATATTGCTGCTAAAACTGTTTTTAAAGTTCTAACTGGTTTATGGTAAGATTATGTCCCTTGAATAATTAATATAGACTATATCATTACTTCAGTAAAACAACATCCAATAATAATTTTTGGTTGTATTTATATGTAACAGTTTACAAAAGAACTAGCTTAAATGTATGTCAGTTTTAGTTAGGTTTTGAGGGGTAACAGTGTTAATCAATGTGTGAGTAATTTTTTAAATATACTTCAAATCTAATAATTTATTTTGATACGGATTGACAAGTAGTGAGTTTTTCTTTTCATACACTAACTATAAAGGTTTATCAGCATACATTTAAACATATCTGTCAATACAATAATGATTATATTTTTCTGTTAAGTTTTTTGTAGTCATTGAATTTTTACATTTATTGTTACCATTTTTGTTATGACCGTACACAAATCATGCATGTTTTATGTGATATTTGGCTATGTTAAGGCTTAGGAGGGAAATGAGTCCATAACAATCAAATAGGATTTTTTCTGGGACCATAGTTTTGTTCCCTAAATATTTTTCTTTGGAGTAGTTGATTATCAAAGAAACTAACAGAGCACCTATACTTTTGGTAAATTTATGTAAAAAAGAATAGGCATTTTTTTATCATTGGATACATTTTTATTGCCCAAGACCGGTCATAAAGTTAAATAAAACACCAGTTTGTATTAGTGTTATTACCATCCGATCCAGTTAAGAGCTTTTGTGTTAAAACATTATGAGTCTCAAATTATCATTTCAATTATTTCAATATTCCTACAAAAGTAGACTAATCTATCTTTGCCAAAAATCCATCTAGATTTTTTAAAGAATTAATTATTACAGTACAAATAAATTGTTTGAACCTTTTTCAGAAACAAATCCACACAATCGTGCATGAAAGTACAAAATATTGCTTGCTGTATAAAGATTGTATATTCTATCGCTTGAAACAAAAATTACGATGAACTTTCATCTTTTTAATTATTTAACCACTTCTTTGTCAGTGAATTTTTGAAGTGTGTATTGCATTAAAAGGGTTGAAAAAGATTAGTTGAAATAAAATTTTACTCTGATAGCCACATGTTTACATGATTATATTGTTATCTGATTTGTTCGTAATTTAAAGTTGTTGCACACTGAAAACGTATAGTTGATAATTAATAGTTTTACCAATTCCATGCTGATATTGGCAAAGAGAATATTTTTTACATTAAAATTAATAATTATTTCAAGCTACTGAGTGATTATAAACTGACTTTTAAAACAACTAGCCAGTTCATCACAGCAATGGTATAATAATGCCATACTTACTTACATGTTAAAGGTTTATACCTACAATTTTTTTTCCTAGTTTTTATTATGTACCGTAGTAAATTCGTTTGTAAACTGTTTAAATTATAATGAACTGGAATGATGTAATAATGCGACGCTTTTACTATAAAAGTTTCAGTAAAATTTTGTTTATAAATTATAACAAAGACTTGGCCATACACTTTTATGATCTGGTTCATTGCTTTTTAGTCAATGATTATACATTGAAAATGTACTGAGCTATGATAAAATGTCAAACATTATTTAGAGCTTGTTCCCCCAGTACGTTTTTTAATCTTAACTATGTTTATACATTGCGATTTGTAGTCATCTGACATTAAACATGATTCTCTCTCTCTGAACTCTCTTTCCTCTTAAGCTAGTGTTGCCTAGTTATCAACAGTTACCAGTTAACTTCTGTCCCATGTAACTATTCTGGTTGGTTAAGTATCGTTCCATAATGACTATTTGCTCAATAGTCAAGATCAAATATTAGATTCAGTTACATAGTAACAATTTTTGTACTGCTTGTTTATTACTGGGAATAAGTTAAATGTAGCTCTATGGCATCTTGCAATGTTTAACTTAAATTAAAATTAGTGTTAGTTAGAGTTACGTGTCTTAGTACATTTTGTACATTTTTTATAACAAAATAAAACTGGATGTGTTTCTAACTTAGATTTTGAGAGAAATAAATGATATTGTTAAATTACTTTCTTGATAATTATTAACAATTAAAGTATACAATGATATACCTTATTATCCATCTAACTGTGTAAATGTCTAGTATAAATATGCCAAATTATTGTTTTGTTGACTTAAAGGGGTCTCAGTACCCTCCCAGTACAGTACAATCAGCCATATGTCTGATAAAAATCTTAAATCCATAATCAAGTTACTTAATACGGATTGAAGATTAGATCCTAAAATTGTGTAAGAGCTTCCTTCTTCCTTGTGCTATAACTTCAATGCATTACCAAACAAATCAAGTTATTAGACCTGTAAGCCTTTAAAGCACAACAGTTAGTAGAACCCCTGATATCAGGCCTCGGTTTATTCAGCCATTTCTAAGAGGCCTATATTAAAATGTTTTCATTGTGTTTTACAGAGGCTTGGTTGCAAGCACTAGTCTTCGTTGATTGAGTTTTTCCTTTTTTTATTTAACTGTTTGTTTTAGCGAATTTCCCATATAGGGAATAAGCTATTACCGTAGTACTCATGATATGACCTGGACCGGTGAACAATTTCTTTCTAAACCATTTTGTAGAGCTTAAAAAACAAATAATTTAGTATATTGAAGCGTTATTATGCGCCTAATGGTTACGGAGAAATTCCAAAAAATTGTAAATTTAAAATGCCCATGTTATTCTTATGGAGAATAAGTCAACTGTTGTAGTTTGCTTGTTTATGAACATATATTGATCAAATTTGGAAAATACATTCATTTGTTACTAAACTACAGTATTAACATTTTACAACAAAAAAATTTTACCCTCCCTGTTGCAGCAAACCTAAGTACTGGTTAACCCTAGCAGTGGCCAATGTTAGACACTGGGAATGGCCAACCCATTTGGGCGATTTTGCAGACATTTTTTTGAAAATTTGTAAAAATTCAACCGTACAAGTAAACCTAGCCAACCTCATATTCATTTTGTTCGGAAAGAACAGGAGAATCTAGAAATAGTAATATAATAATGATTTAGATAGTGTATTTTCTTTTCGGTAAAGTGGAAAGAAAGATTTTTTTTTTTTTTTTCAAAAGCGGCCTTGTTATTTTTTTTTCTACGGATTTTTTATGGGAAATTCATTATATATACATTTTGTAGACAATCTAATTCCCTACATAGAAAAATATAACATGTTAGGAAAATATATTTTTTTATAAGTTTTTGGGGCGAAATATAATAACAAACGGAGAACCGAAAAAATTAAAAACCGTACAGTGTTAGTTTGTGTTGTAAAAAGTTATATAATATATATGTATACTAATAATGATATATACATGTTTATAAAGCTAATGAAGTAAGGAATCAAAAAAAGCCATAAAGTTTATGGTAAAAATATTTTTTATAAATAAATAAAATAATGTTTTTGTATTTTAGCGATTTTGTGAGAAAAAAAAATCATAGTATTTAGTATAAAACTTTTGTAACAAATGGTTTTACTTCAAACCAACATAAACATCTTGTAGTGTATTCAATTACCTACATAAAAATGTATAAAATGTTGGGTAACAATTTTTGTTTTTACATGCTAGGGGCATAATAATATGAATAAACGGAAAACCTCAAAGTATAACTAAAAGAAAAATACAACCTTTTATAAACACAATTTGCACTATTCAGTAAATATTCATGCATAATAAAATACATGAAGATTACTGTTATATACAAATACACATTTTCTAAAAATTACGAAATAATAACGAATTTAGTAATCAATCGCGGATAAAACGAGAGCAAAAACTTACTGGCAACAACACGCAATGGCGAATACAAGGCACTTTGTGTATGAGACCTTGACAGTAGTGACTCACTTTCGTCGTCTTAGTGAGAGAAAACGGAAATAACCCTGAGCACAGGGCTGCCACTATCACAAGCTACATTCCTTCCTCTTCAAAATGACATACTATATGACTAGTAATAATAACTTACACTGTATGTAATTTGTATTTTCCATACAGTCACCTGACGACGGTTGGCCATTTGTTATAAATTTCGAAAACAGCTGTTTTCATAAAATCGTACCGGTTGTCAATCAATATTTAGTTCTAAAATATCACTACCACAATGAAGATAAAATCAATGGCTATCCAGTGGTACCACCCGCAACATTCCAAGACAAAAATTACCCGAGCAGGGTAATGCCAAACAAGACGTGTTTTGCCAGTTCCCAAGGGTCGGCTGCTAAAGTCGTGCCGCGCCAATTATTCATTTGATTTCTAATCGTCGTGACATTGTTATATACCTGCTACAGGGTTTTTTTATGTAATAAAACGAAAGTTCAGAATGTGATCTTTGGAATGGTATATATATTATTCTCATCTGAGTTGATTATAAGTGTTTTTTTACCGTTAAAATAATTTCGGCCCATACCGTCACCAGACGACGGCTGGCCATTCTAAGCATCAACGTCAAACCGTCACCAGACGACGGTTGGCCACTGCTAGGGTTAAACTAATTCTATTTAAATAGGGAATAAATGTAATATTTTTAAGGAGACATTTTAGTGTAAATCCAATCAGGCAAATGGAAATTTGTTAAGTCTGCAGGTTTGCTGAGGCGGGAGTATTTACATATACTGGGTCACTACTCAGTTAACCTCAGAACAGCAGAACAGTTGGTTGTATTTCCATTGTAGTAAATATTGTACAGTAATTGTACTAGTACACAATACAGTAATTTAGATTCGTTACTAACAAAGATTTCAGAGGAAATTACTATTTTAAGGCTTAATTATATTCAAGGCCAAATTATTGTGACTGTTTTTTTGGTAGCTGAGGTATGGTGCTCCTAACAATCAAAAGGTTGCTGGTTCGATCCTGAGAAAGGCCAGTAGCTTTTTGATGGCTCGAAACTGGACCCAGCTGTTCCTGATCATTGGGCTTTGTTTAAATAAATGATCCTGGCTAATGAAGCAACTGATTTTAGTCAGGAATAAAGCAAAACAGATCATCACATTCCATTCTACACACATCCTTCACTCATATTTGGGTTAAAATACCCACCTATGTAGTGTCCCCATCTCAATAACATAATAATA